AACTAACAATATTAACTGTTATTTACAATTAGAAAGAAAATTATTAATGAGAAAATAAATTTAAACCAATTATTTCGTATAAATTATGATAATTAAGTTGTTATTACTGTTAAGACTTTATTAATAATTATAAAAATATTATCAATACATAAGATTAAATATCTTAGTTTATAGACATTTTTCCAGTGATAAACATATTTTAATAATAATAATAATTATTATTATTGTTTAATTATTTTCTGCATTGAAAATGTCTTTAATTAATTTAAATATCAAATCCTTGAGTTATTAAATCTTTAATTAATTATCGCTTTTATTATTTTATTTAATAACTCCTATAAAATACAAAAGCATTAAACATTAAGTGAAATAAAATATTAACATTATTAGGCGATTATAAAAATCAATACAATAATTTTATTTAAAATTTGCAATTTATTAATTTAGATTTATACATTCTTATAAATGATGGCATTTAAATTAATTTGGGTTGACTTCAAAACATTTAACTAGGAGGCAATTTGCACACATGGTGCTCCTCATCGTAAATGGACCCTGGTCCACAATGGTAGAGAATATCCTGGAACTTTCCCGGACCGTTATTAATGCACTCGTGATAAGCGGTCTTATCCTGAGGGTCGGGGAAGAAACCCGAGGCCTTACACACAAAAGTTCCCGGCGCTGAAGTGGATCCGGGCTGTGGTGTTGGCCCCGGTTTTCTAGTGGGCAGAGACACCGGCGCGACGGTAGGGCCGGGCATCGCGGTTGTCGGTATTGGAGGTGACTTCGTGTGATGGTGTTCAATGATCACTGGGTCCGGATTGCCGTCAACTGTAAAGTCGGACAATAAGTTTTGATGATATTTGCGTTCATTAAATCAAATTAAGAGGTAATTAATGGATTCAATACTAACTTCCGTTCAATTCTTTGCTAATAGTCTTCAGTAACGGATACTTTCCTTTACCGCACAGACCTTTCAAACAAATCAATTCATTTAATTATATTAGCGATTGGTTGTAATA